AATTAGTTCCTACCTGTACCAGCACTGTTCAAGATTTGAGGTTGGATATGCTTTGGATTTCAATTATACTCTAGGTAAGTGGTAATTTGACTGTTGCCCACAATTGCGCTGCACAAACATACCAAGACATACATGTATCTGTGACTCTTACCAGGCCCCGGTTGTTGGAAGGCTGGATAACGCTATCCGCTGGATAAATTTCTGTTTGGTGGATAGTGTAGTACGTTTTGCTATCACTTATCCGTTGGATAGCGATTTATCCGTTCGATATCGTTATCCGACCTATACAAAACTGGGCCCAGAACACTACTTAAAGACATGCATGTATATACTTTAGCAACAAAAGTTTTGATCCCCACACGAGGAGGCTAAATGAGCCTCCAAACTGGCAAAAAAGTACTCAGTGTTTTTGCTACTTAGGAGCACTTTTCAACCCAGTGTCGAAAAACCAAAACAAAGTATCACAGCGACCAACAAGGATAACATCATTAGCCAATGAGAACACGAATTGAAAACAAGCAAACTTCCTGAGGTGCGGGAAAACGCGAATGACCAAGTCGCGATTGGTTTTTAGATTTGCATTTGATTGGCTGAGAGGATAGCGCAAGTTTTCTGGACCAATCAGAGAGATGAGTTACGTAAAACCAAACCAATCCCAAGTTGCCTCCGACACTCAACTGAAAATTGATGTGTCAAAACTAAGGTATCAGTCTGAACCAATACCTATTGTAGGCAGGAGCCCATCACTTAGAGCCTTCAACTGCCCTGTATTTTTATCACGGCGTTTTCACAGGCAAGTCTAATTTTAGTTTGAATTTACCGCGAATTAGGACTCCCCATCAGAGCACATCGACCAATAAAGATTAGCACCTGGTTAATTTCTAAATTTACTCGTTAATATATTGAAAGAAAAACAGCAGAGAGAAGCAAGGCTTCTTGCGATAGTTCGAGTGCAGATTCGTGTAAACAAAGGCATCCCAAGCTCAGGTCTCGATAAAAAGCAAACGATATATTCATGAAAGCATCACATGTTGTGAAACTCGGTGTT